GGATAGACGACAATTGTGGCGTATTCAGTTGTACCTATAGCTGTCGATGGAAATACCACTTGCGAACTTTTTCGAGTTTACGTGATCAGAATGCACATACCAGCTGTCACTTTACTGATCTGGTAAGTTCTGATTGATCCGTAACACGTAATCGGAGAACCCCAGATCTATACTCAACCAAAAAAAGGTAAGGACCACCCCAATATTCAATATCTAAGTATAATACGGATCATGATATGAACTGTTAAATATTGATGTCGTCCTTAACTATTTTTGTTGAGTATATGTTTAGCGTAAGTGAGAAGTGAGGTGCGATTTTAATGAGATTGAAAGGACTGAGAACTTCTGATCCAGCTTTTAGAGTGTAAAGTGACACCCTGCGCCTGCCTTATAAGTGACCTCACCCTTCGTTCAAACAACGCGCACCTGTTGTTAGTGACGTGTTCCCAGTTCGTTCGAAGAGAACATGCGCATTAGATGGCAGTCTGATGGATTGTTGATAACAAGGAAAGTTTAACAAAGCTGCAAAAGATTTCGATGAAACATTTTGCAAGAAGTTTGATTTCTTAAACTAATGATAAAGATTAAAATGATTAATGATATGATTAAAATTATTACACAAATGTCAGCAGTAAGATACGTTATTGTAAGCAATACGTTAGCACTGTTCCGGCGTCGATAATACGGAGTTTCTGGACATATTGTACATACACATGAGGTGAGCTGAAGTTGGGTTTTAGGAGTGGCGAAGAGTGGCCGTTACCGCTATGCCAATACCAACCTTTCATGGTTACAGCAGAAACGGCCCTAGATGGACTTTGGACTTGTTTCGTCTTTATGGTGTAGAGTACGAGGCCCACACCAGACAGCAATACGCCTGTGATGTTGATCAAAGTGATCTCCCTTCTCCCAAACACACACAACAGTAGAACAACGGCGACCCTTTTAAAAATGTTGATGACGGCGTGAGTGACGACAGAAACAGACTTTAACACCAGTGCTATTGATAGATATGTGTATACGACGTGGAACACGGCGGACGACGTTGCTAGCATCCCCAGTTGACAGAAGGACGATTCCTGGACCAAACAAGGAAGACTCACCATCAGCAGCAGGACTCCTGTGGTTGGGATTGTTACGACTTTTGATCTGGTCTCTAGATGGTGGCCATTTTGGAACAAATGCTTCATTGAAATATTACGAAAGGCGAGAGCCAGGTTTGAAATTAGTGCCCACAGAAGGCCTTGGGACAATGCAGAACTTTGGAATGGGTTTCCAGTAAAAAGGATGGCCCCTGACACAATCACCGGTAACGTTAACAGCGATGAGATTGGTAAGGGGACAGCGAACACAACCATCTGTATAATGGCACTTGTGATTGGTTCCAGCATTTTTATGGCGAATGTTGACGAGGCGTGAATCATTGAAAGGCTGTAGTTAGTTGCTAGTGTAGCTATCACATGGCCGGCTACAGTCATTGCCTTGTGTCGCCTTGATGGCGTGACATCTTCCTCCGACTTAATCGTCAGCGTCCACACACACAGTGATAACTGAAACAGCGACACCAGTATGAAACCCGTAGCACTCTCTCCGAGAAGGGAAAGATAACCTTTGGCACATTGATGACAAATGAACGCTGTAATGGTCCAGGACATCAATATGGCCGCCAGTCGACCGCCATCTTGCACAGCCTTCATCTGGATATGAAACAAACATTGAGTCAAATTTGCCAATTTTGCCAATGAATCGAAACATTCACACAAATGCGTTTTAAATCGTCAATGCCAGCAATAACATGATAGAGTCATAATATTTCATTGGAGAAGCATCCATATTAAAAAGTGAAAACCCTACATATATGATGAGCAGTATATGACATCAGAACATCCTAAAGTATGCTCCCGTGTTTCAATCTTTTCCATCTAAGTATTTTATTGGAAACATTGCATACAGTACATTTAAATGTTTTATGTTTTGCGATGATTTTATTGATAACATAAACAAACTAAACGTGTGTCTGCACTTGATGATGACGCATGGAAGTCTGTTTCATGTTTATGCAGTTGGTTGAAGAGTTCAAATCTGAAATGTCGACAGAGACGCCAGCATAGTAGGAAATGGGCTTCATACCAGACAGAATACTTGTGTTTGACCTTCCTTGATGAAATGTTTACCGATAATATGTTGTCCAGGATTTCGTGACCAAAGTACAGAATTTTTTTATGAACCATACCCAACGTCTCTTGGGCCTCTCTTTGCATTTTTGTGCCATATCCTCCTGTTATGTCCAATCCATGTGAATGCAAATAACAGAAAAAACTGTTGATGATCCATATGGAGGTTTCACAGATGCAAGCAATACCATAGTTAAGATTGTTAAGAATTGATTTTCTCATGTCTGAATTTTCAGACCATCCCTTCCTGTTGACGCGTACTCTTTCCCCGCCCCAGTAGTCTGCTAGTCAGCCAGACTTCTTTGTTTACCAAACCAGATTCTTTCATGAAAATATGTTTAAACCAACACGTCGGTTTCCACACATTCCTTTAGTAGTGTTCTCATATTTGATTCCTCACTAGGTGTGTCATTTATACACTTCACTATACTGTTTGTGTGATGTCAGTGTTCTCTTTGCTTTCAGAACTGTTACTGTATTTCCCTTGCTACTGTAGTGGTTATAATCATACGCAGATATTCTCCTTTCTCTTGTTAGTGTGGTGGTTATAATCATACGCAGATATTCTCCTTTCCCTTGTTACAGTGGTGGTTATAATTATACGCAGATATTCTCCTTTCCCTTGTTACTGTGGTGGTTATAATCATACACAGATATTCTCCTTTCTCTTGTTACAGTGGTGGTTATAATCATACGCAGATATTCTCCTTTCTCTTGTTACTGTGGTGGTTATAATCATACACATATATTCTCCTTTCTCTTGTTAGTGTGGTGGTTATAATCATACGCAGATATTCTCCTTTCCCTTGTTACAGTGGTGGTTATAATTATACGCAGATATTCTCCTTTCTCTTGTTACAGTGGTGGTTATAATCATACGCAGATTTCTCCTTTCTCTTGTTACAGTGGTGGTTATAATCATACACAGATATTCTCCTTTCCCTTGTTACTGTGGTGGTTATAATCATACGCAGATATTCTCCTTTCTCTTGTTACTGTGGTGGTTATAATCATACGCAGATATTCTCCTTTCCCTTGTTACAGTGGTGGTTATAATCATACGCAGATATTCTCCTTTCTATTTTTACAGTAGTGGTTATAATCATACGCAGATATTCTCCTTTCTCTTCGCTTGAGTATCCACCACATCTCACAGTTTCAGCCCATCCTGAGTACTGGACGAATTTTATTCTCAGGAACAATAGGATCAGTTATTTCTGATAACAATAGGATCCCAGTTGTCAGCTGGGAAGTTTTTTTCACAACAAAGTTTTTGTCTCGTTTAATAGCTGACAACATCTTCTCCCTGTAATAACAGCTTCAACATACGATGTTTGAACAGGGGTCCAGACAATTCCCCACACAGACAATTCCACACAGGACAATTCCACATACAGACAATTCCCTACACATTAAAAAGTATAAATAACAACACTTTAAAATTTAGTAGCTGAGTCAAGATATCAACAAGGCACGGCATGTACAATAAAACTAGATTAGGTGAGCTGCGAGAATCTCTGGGAAGATATGATATAGTTATGTACAGATTTTCATAGTTCCAGATTTAGCTGTTCTGGTGAGCCAGAATTACCATATAATATTGATTAAATCTGTGTGTATAAGAAGTATGCGTTTGATCTTATGTCGTTAAATGTGGGACAGATGATGAAGAAATGAATCGCATCTTCGGTCTGATGCCCCGCAATTACACTGCTGTATATATCACATGTGAGATTACACGATATGGCTGAGATATTGCCGATGTGACGTTAAATGTTAACTCACTCACTCTCACTCACATGTGTGATTGAGATACATGTGTATGTTCAATTTGCTGAGTGTGTTGTTGTATGCATGTCTATCGCAGCGGTACATGCATTGAGGTTAACTGTTGGTAGGCATTTTCTTATATTTGCTTTCATGTACCTCCCGGCAGAACTGGCAGGCAAACTGATCCATGTTCTAACTAATACTATAGAATATTTCGCTCAAAAAACATAGGAGTAGCTGAAAGTAAATATGATTCTGCCTGTACTCTGTCGTCTCATGTTGTGTATTTAAAGGGGTGATGTTATTGATGCCATGTGGGTTGTCCTGCACCTACACGTGTATAACCTGCACGTGTCTGGTACCATGGATATGTCCATGTATGGACCTGGCACCTTTAGGCTATACCTCAGTAACTGTATACCAATGGCGGTGTTTCTGGAAAGTTTGTAGCATTTTGATGGAAATATATTACAGCCGACACGAAAGGTTTTTCAACTGATATGCACTGCTGAAATAACTTGTTACAAAGGACTCGGAGAAAACTGAAATAGCTTCTACTGTATTTGTTGCATAGCAAGGACTCATTATAAGCATGCTGCTACTGACTGGTAAAATCACAAATCTGGTATTGCTGAAAATAATACGTCTTTGTTACAACACTCGTTCACTGATAGTCATCTACATTATACGTTGTATGCTTCTCTCGAGGGTAATACGGTTTGATTTACGCCTATTTGTAGCAGTGTCACGCGTATTTATCTTATCGCCATGTTAAATGTACAAAATATCATTTTATTTTATGTTCAAGATCGCTACCGACTATATTACATACAAACAAAATGGCGTCTGCCTCTCGACTGGATTTTTAACATCAGTGAAACATATTCTGACAATGTGGCAGACTCAAATATATATATATGTACATAGTTTTAATTAAAGTTTGGAAGATTATATTAAGTATTAAGGTAGATGGCATTGTTTCCATTTAATTACTTATTCTAACATCTGTAAGAATATTAGGTATGTTTTATATGGTAGAATGAATGATGAAATCTTAGTTATGTTTTATACTTCATTTTATTCTCATGCCATAGCTCTGCATAGTAAGCCTAGTAACTCTCAGTCTCACCTCCACTAATTGTCACACTGCATGCTTACAACACTCCTTGCCCCAGCCCTCAGTCAGTTCTATTGTTTCACTGATAGGCCAAGCTGGCCATAGCTTAAACTACAATGTAAAGATTTTAAACTCACATGCTGTCCTGTACTTCGTAAGGAAGGTTACCTTTACAACCAGGGGATCTTTATAAGGATTTTAGGTAGGTTCATATTGTATAAAATGTTGTATATATATATGGATGGTTTCTTGTTTACTACAATAAGAAATATAATTTATTGTGTAAGTCAGACTTGGTTTACTTGAAATATAATATATCTTATAAATGTGTATAGTTGAAAATGAACTATCAGATCACTGTGTTATTGTGAGTTTATGTATTGTTTATGTATTAAACGCAATTCTAAACATATCAACTAAATATATGGCAACGTTTAGGTAAGGACTAGTCAGTATGAATGCATGCCTGTATGTTTGGTATGTGTGATTGATAAACACACATATATATATATATATAAATATTATATATGATTCCATGTTTGATTAGTGTGGCGAATGTAATTGTATCTTATTTTATATCATATCAATTGTATATATATATATTGTTCTCTTCATACATATTTATTTGTTATGCAGATCTGTGTTCATTCAGGAGAATATCCTCCCTAAACAGCTTGGGTACAACCAACCTGGTATGTAACACCTAACCAAAAAAAACCCTATATGTATACCAGAAGTGTATTTACTATTAGAATTTCCTAAAGGTACCTACAGTATGTCTGTATGATCATTGTATATTTGTATTAATACTATGTAACATTATAACTTGTGACATAGTTCAGATGTATTCAACTAGGTGTATTTAATAGGCTTAACGAGTGATTCGAGCATGTACATATTTTATGTGATTCCATTTAACATAGTTCCTTATGTTCTTTCAGGCTTTTTAACACGATCTTCCAGAATAAATGTATCGGCCTCACAACCCACAGCCGTTTGTATTCTTTTGCATGGATTCAAACAAGGCGCTGTTATATTGGAGCCCCCAGTGAGGACCCCGACGTTGCTACCGCCAACCAGTACCTTCATGTGAAGTTCAGGATCATCTGTCACATCGTCTCAGTGCAAGGTAGCTGTACGTCAGTACATGTAAGCGGCTATTGACACTTATATTCATGTGATGACATGAACTGTTTACATACATTATCAAGACTGTGCTTTTGCCTCGAGTGGATTTCTAGATGCGACGACACTGTGTCTTCAATCCTTCCACACGCGTGATGTCATTTTGATTATCATTTCTGTGGATGTGTTGTATGATAAATTATGACATGTAAACCTTAATTTCAACAGGAGCGCTCCGAATTAATACTTAGTTTGCATCAGTTATTTAGTTAGTTAATCAGTTAGTTAGTTATTTAGTTAGTTAGTCAGTTAGTTAGTCAGTCAATCAGTTAGTTATTTAGTTAGTTAGTCAGTTAGTTAGCCGGTCAATCAGTTAGTTAGTTAGTTTTACTATCATACTTATTTCCCTTAGTGTCTTTATCATATTGCGTCGCTAGATAAGTGCAATAATCTTGAATGCGACCTTAACCCCCAACCCCCCTCTCAACGTTCAGTACTCTTTAACTTTAGGAACATATTATATAGTTGTTCATATTATTTGCATACCAGCCACAGAGTGTTATATATATATATGGGTATGTGTGTTTGTGCATGCATGAATGTGAGTGTGAAGGCTATGCTAAAGCTAGTTTGACTTTATCACTTAAATCAAATATTTAATCCATCATAATATATCCTAACTAAATAAACTGTTAGGTAGTCTGTGCTAGATTACGTGTGGTTCATTTACCTATTCTTGTCAGTTGGTAACAAGCTAGTTGAGGTAATAGTTTTTTAGATACTTGTGTTGTAGGTTCTGCGTTCAGTGTTGTTTCTCAGATTGTTGGTGCTACTATCTCCATTAGTTGAAGGGTAAGGTACATTTCCCTGTTTTCGCCATACACAGATCCCAATTGCGCGCGTGTACATACAACCTGCACTGCAACAATTTGCACGACTAACACTTCTCATTAATCATTAGAAATACCTCAGTATTATACCCTATTTTTAGTTAGCATTATTTCAAGATTAGTCCATATCTAGGTATTTGTCTTAGGTACATTTGTGGTTAGAATACGTACATACTGTAGCAGTACAGATTTCCTTTGCCAGCCACAAGCTACTTTGGTTGGTAAGTTGCCAACTCATGACTTCCTTCGTTGATGGTTAGCCATCATTTTCTCTCATTAGCCTTCGCGTACACCTCGTGGATGTGCACTTAGTGTTTTTCTAGTATATGTAACACTGATATATAGTGTAGTATACTAGTCACAGTGTAGCATCCATAGACAGTACCCATCTCGTACACTCGTACTTCATATCATTCGTTAACACGCATATTGATTCTATCATTATTTCCTGCGCTTCATTTCCGCCATACCTAGTAGATTTCCTGGTAAGGAATTTCACTTCACTTCAGAGGTCAATAACTCATTCTGAATAATGGCAACACAGAATATGTCAAAGGAGGAGGTAGATCAGCTGGTCTCTTCTTTGGAAAAGTTAGGTTTACGTCCTAAAGCTGAAACTCCAGAAGACTTACTACAATGGATCACCGAGATTGGGAAGCATAGTCCTAAACCAGAGGAACCAGCAGCTTCTAACATCCATCCTCTACCTGCTACAGTTACTTTAGCTAAGTCCCCACAACTACCTTACTTCTCAGGTGACAGGAAGGGAGATGCAGACTTTGATCAGTGGATGCATGAGTACACATGTATGTGCTCCAACTACTCTATGGACATTGTTTTGGAAGCAGTCAGACGTTCCCTTCGCGGCAAAGCTGCCAGAGTTGCTATGCACGTCGACAAGGATGCACCACTAGATGCCCTCGTCAGCAAGCTCGATAGTGTATTTGGAAATATACATACAGAACATAACATCATGGCGCAGTTCTATATGGCCAAACAAGGAGACGAGGAAACTGTAGCTGAGTGGTCCTGTCGCCTAGAGGATATTCTTAGCCAAGGAGTCATCCTGGGCAAGGTCAACCCTAGCGACACAGAAGAGATTCTCCGGGACACCCTTTGGACTGGTCTTCGAGCTGACCTGAAAGATCTTTCCAGCCATAAACTGGACCAGGATGTATCATATGAGCAGTTCCTCAAATACCTCCGTCAAGTTGAAGATGATCTGCTGAAAAGGAAATCAATTTCCAAGAAGACGTATGCGACCAATAAAACGACCGTCAGCACAGATAACCCTGAACTCAAAGAAATAAAGGGTCTATTAAAATCCATGTCTGCAGAAATAGCAACCCTCAAGGCACAAGTGGACAAGACCGACAGGCAAGGATACAATCAAAGTCCGGATCAGTCATGTTCGGGTCAAGGACAAGGTCAACAATGGCAGATGCCCCCTAGGCAATGGACACGACCTCCAAGGACCAGTGCAAGTCAATCCTTTGGACGACCTCCAACTGGCCGAGGGACCCCAGTCTCATGCCATGGACCCCGGCCCTTTAAAGACATCCCAAGATGCTATAGATGTGGACAGCCTGGACATATTCAGAGGGGATGCAGAGCAGTCATGGATGGAGACTCTTTAAACTACCCCAGGCCTATGGGGAGGGGCGGACCATGGGCCTAAGAAGTGTCAGCAATCAGCAGATAACAGTCGAGATGGTAGGAGATCCAACTGAGAGCACTGTAACCATTAATGGAGTCAAGTGCAAGGCTTTACTGGATACAGGGGCAACCATCTCATCTATATCAGAGACATTCTACAGGCAGAACTTCCCTGATGTTCGTCTTGAACCCCTACAACAACTTCTACATGTAGAATGTGCCGATGGAGAACTCCTGCAATACATGGGACTAATTGTGGTGGACCTAGAAGGAACTGGAAGCGCATCTACCAAAATAAACTCCATGTTACTTGTCGTGCCTGATAGTTCGTACAATAAGAGAATACCAGTTACCCTAGGCACTAACATTCTCTCTATCTACCTAAACCAATGCAAGGACCAGTATGGATCAAGATTTCTGCAACATGCAGACCTGCACACACCTTGGTATCTAGCATTCCGCAGCATATTGATCAAGGAGAGAGAACTTGCAAGGAACAATTACTCTGTTGGAAAAATTAGAAGTGCTGAACCAGGTCGCAAGATTATCCCAGCCAATAGTGAGATCCACATTGCCGGCTATGTTGATAGACCCCTACCCTATAAACTTACTCATGCTGTTGTCCAGCCTACCAGAGGATCGTATATTCCTGACGACCTTGACATTGTACCCACCTTAGTATCATATGATGGAAGTGGACAGAAGATGCTTGTTGATGTACATATATCCAACCTTACCACTCGCTCTGTGTCAATTCCAAGTCGTGCCCTTCTATGTGAACTACAAGTTGTGACGGTAGAAGACATACCAAAGACCTCTTCATCACTGAACTCGCCTGAAGATACTTCTGTCTTGGACCTCATGGACTTCAACGAAACTGCTGTTTCAGAGGAAGAACTTGCGCAGGGAAAACAAGTCATCAAGGATTACTTGGATGTATTTTCCTCAGGAGATACTGACTTGGGACACACAGACAGGGTCAGACATCGGATTGAACTTACAGATGACAATCCATTTAAACAGCGTTATCGAAGAATACCACCAGCTATGTACGAGGAAGTTAAAGATCATCTCAATCAACTTCTTCTCTGTGGTGTCATTAGACATTCTCATTCTCCATGGTCTTCCAACGTGGTACTGGTACGTAAGAAGTCAGGAAAACTTAGACTATGTGTGGATTTTCGCCAGCTGAACCAACGGACCATTAAGGACAGCTATGCTATCCCCAGGATTGAAGAAATGTTTGAAGCCCTGTCAGGTTCGAAGTTTTACAGTACCCTGGATATGAAAAGCGGCTACCACCAAGTAGAAATAGAGGAGAAACACAAGGAGCGAACTGCCTTTACTGTTGGACCAATGGGATTTTATGAGTACAATCGTATGCCCTTTGGATTGTGCAACAGTCCAGCGACTTACCAGCGACTCATGAACGAGTGTTTTGAAGGCCTGCATCTAAAGATATGTCTCATATACTTGGATGACATCATCATATTCTCATCAACGATTGACGAACATCTAGACCGATTGAGCCAAATACTTCAGCGAGTCAGAGAAACAGGACTGAAACTTTCACCAGAGAAATGTTCATTCTTCAAAAAGAAAATCAAATTCCTTGGCCATGTTGTCTCTGAAGAGGGAATATCAGCTGATCCTGAGAAGGTAGAGAAGGTTCTAAATTGGCCGAGACCTACCAATGGTTCAGAAGTTCGTCAATTTCTTGGATTTGCAGGATATTATCGGAAATTTGTGAAGGATTTTGCCAAGATTGCCAAGCCATTATCCTCATTGATGCCACATGGGAAATCCAAGAAATCCAAGAAATCACTTGACCAACCATGGAAATGGGAACAAGAACAAGAACAGGCGTTTGTACACCTCAAGACATTGTTGGCTTCACCACCTGTCCTTGCATACCCAGACTACAGCAAACCATTCGAGATACATACAGATGCCAGTGGACGTGGGCTTGGAGCAGTGTTGTACCAGGAACAAGATGGAGCCAAGAGGGTTATCAGCTATGCGAGCAGGGGATTAACCAAGTCGGAAAGCAACTATTCAGCTCATAGACTGGAGTTCCTCGCATTGAAGTGGGCAGTCAGTGAGAAGTTTCACGACTATCTCTTTGGAGCAAGGTTTACAGTACTGACTGATAACAACCCCCTCACCTACGTCCTCACCAGTGCCAAGTTGGATGCTACAGGCCACCGATGGCTTGCAACTCTCTCTGCTTATGATTTTGACATCCACTATAGACCTGGAATGAAAAACTCAGACGCAGATACCTTGTCAAGACTGCCAGACCTGGAACACCGAG